GACAATAGTGAGAATTTGGGGTCCCTTGGACTCAAGTATCTTGATGCAACATGAAACCCTAATTTGAGATAGACTGCCTTAGGAGAGGGTTTGTCTGGTCAACCCTTGGACTTCCTTGAGCAATTTGAGGATCTTGCTTGAAATGTTTTGAGAAATATGGGAGGGAAAATTTTAGGGTACAACACAGTCCTTGGGGAAGAAGATGAGGGCGTGGCAGCATACCACTGGCCCGTTTAAAATTCGCGCGTTTTTTCTGGGCATAGCGTTTTGTTTACATTATATTCATTTTGTTTGATTATATGCATGACTAACAATCCAGCACAGATGGTAAAGGAGGAGGTTTGCAAGGCGCGTGTGTAGGAGGTCAGGGGTTCGATCCCTGCCTCCTGCATAATATTTTTCCTAATATTTGTTTGCAGATCCAGTGGTGTCATCACATGTGCAAACACCATACGCCTCAATATCATCATCATTGGATCAATTTGTATCTAGATCTGACGCCCCAAGCATGCACGCGCATGGTGGGCTCTCTTGACAAGCATCCCACTGGATCAGGCGCAGCCATTGGGCCAGCTATTCTGGGCCTGGACAAATTCAGCATACACCCTCCAGAATTACTTTTCTTCAGGCCCATCTCAATTATTTTTTGTTTTTAAATTTCTTTTTTTATTATTTCTATTTATTTTTAATTGTTTTAAATATCTTTTTTTAATTAAATCTTAAAATCACAAAAAAAATTATAATTAGGTTTTTTTATATAAAATATTTAATTGCATTAATTAATTAGATTAATTAGGATAACTTAAATTCTTTTTTTCATATTTAAAATTAATTAGAAATTAGGTTAATTTGCAAAATTAATTATTTTTTCTCAAAAATCCGAAAAAAATTTTTCTTTATTTATTAAATTAAATGTCGTTGAATTTAATTTTAATTCCTTGTTTAATTTATTCTCGCGCGTATTTATTATATTTACTTTTCCAATTAATGTAATTGCTCCGAGTTTATAATAGTTAATTAAGTTTATTGCCATTTTCCTTACTGATTTCCCTAAGTTTTGATTATGTAATCCCCCTCCCCAAGGCCTTGTAATAGTTAGGTTTAAATTTCTCGCACTTTTCTTTTTCGTCATTATAAACTGTTAGATGATTAATAATAAGATTGTATGCAAAATATCATAATTTAAAACAGTAGAAAACCCTAAATGTGCAAAGATAATAACTGAAAAAACAAACACTTGCACATGCTCACTCCTAGGGTTTGCTCCACTCCGGTTGCCTTTGGTAAACAGTCATGAAGTATAAGGAGATTTAGTGGTTTCCCTCTAGTCTCAAAAGATAAAAAATGACCCATTTGAATGTTGCCTCGGAAAGATCTTTAGGACTCTAGGGTAACTACTAAGGTTTACAAACCATTGCTTTAGTGATCGTACTCATCCCTTTAGATTGTCCCTCAAACTCCAACGATGGAGCTACCTACTCCTTAATAGTAGGATAGCGCTGTCTAAAGGAAACAAGAAAACGAACAAAATTTTTTCGAGTAGGTAGAAACTCTTAAATACTTGCTCAAAACAATAACTTTTTTCACAATTACACTTTCACACTAAAGTTTTCAAAAAAACACTTTATCACACCCTTGAGGACTGATAAAAGGGTTACCATAAAGTGAAACACTACCCTAAGGCAATTTCAAAACTTTTTCAAACACACAAGCACACAAAAGCAATTTAAGAATGAGCAAGTACCTAAGAGCCCATGGAAAATCACGGATAGAAAGGGTGCTAACACCTTCCCTTTCTATAATCTACCCCCCCCCCCCCCCCCCCCCCCCCCCGTACTCAAAATCTCTAAAAAGGTTTTTTCTGTACTTTTTTCCTTTTCCTTTGTTGGATGAAATAAAAGTCGGTGACGACTCTTGCTTACCGTACATTTACGAACAAAAAAACGCAAAACCAGTAGTAAAAAACAGTCAGTTCTGCCACTGTATCACATCTCCTTTTGAAACTTGGTATGGTTGTGCTCTTGATTATTCTTACTTAAAAGTCTTTGGTTTTACTTGTTTTGTTCTTCTTATACAAATGGAACGAAGCAATATGTCTCCTCGTTCTGCAATTTGTTTTTTTTCTTGGTTATGGGAATGGTCAAAAGGGTTATCGTTTTTATGATCCAACTAAAAATAAAATATATCTTTCTCATCGTGTTGTCTTTCTTGAACATGTACCATTTTACTTTTTTTCTTCTAATTTTCATACTCATACTAAGTCCGAGCTTATTCATATTGATCCATTTTCCTTTGATGATGATATTTCTAGTGATTGTAATGTTGAGAAATGCAAGGTTTATACCACTGTTACTCCAGATACAAATATCCCTTTATCCCCACGGCTTCCCAACAACCTCTTACGATTATTGATCCTACTCCAACAACACTGCCACATCCACCTCCTCACATTCCTCCTAATCGTTATCCTCCTCGTGATTATAAGTCTACTAAATTTCCTGACTTTATTTATTCCACTTATTCTACTTCTTTTGCTTCTTTACTAACTTTTATTCATAGTTTATCTGAGCCATCTTCCTATAAATAAGCTATACTCGATCCTCTTTGGAACCAGTCTATGGAAGAGGAACTTGTTGCTTTGTACAAGACAAATACTTGGGAATTAATACCTCTTCCACCAGAAAAACGTATTATTGGGCCTCGTTGGGTATACAAGATCAAAACCAAATCTGATGGGACAATTGAGCGATATAATTCTCGCATTGTTGCTAAGGTTTTATCAATAATATGGTATGTATTTTGAAGAAACATTTCCTCACGTGGCCAATATTACCACTATTCACACCCTTATTGTTGTTGCATCTATTCGTGAGTGACATATTTCTCAAATGGATGTAAAAAAATGCATTTTTGAAAGGTGATCTTCAAGATGAAGTTTATATGATTCCTCCTCAAGGTGTTTTTCATAATCAAGGGGAAGTGTGTAAGTTAAAGAAAGCTCTATATGGTTTGAAAAAAGCTCCATGAGCTTGGTTTGAGAAGTTTTCTAGTGTGATTACATCTCTTGGATTCCACCCTAGTGATCATGACTCTGCTTTATTTTCCAGGTCCACTTCTCATGTTCGTATTATACTTTCCTTGTATGTTGATGATATGATTATTACATGTGATGATATTGATGGGATTAAAAAGTTGAAGTTGCAGTTATCTAAGCAGTTTGAGATGAACGATTTAGGCACTCTTCGTTATTTTTTAGGGATTGAAGTTGTCTACTCACCTAGAGGTTATCTTCTTTCTCAATCCAAGTACATTGCTAATATTCTTGAACAAGCTCGCTTATCTGATAATCGAGCAGTAGATAGACCTCTTGAGCTAAATGTTAAATATACTTCTTTTGATGGCGTTATTCTACTAAACCCTACCTTGTATCGTATTTTGGTTGGAAGTTTGGTGTATCTTACTATTACTAGATCTGATATTGCTTATGCAATGAATGTTGTGAGTTAGTTTGTCGTTTCTCCTACTATAATACATTGGGAAGTTGTACTTTGTATTCTTCGTTATCTCCGAGGAACGCATTTTCAAAGTATTTTATTCCCGTCAACCTGTTTCTTAGAATTACGTGCTTACTCTGATGCTTGATTGGACTGATAATCATACTGATTGTAAGTCTATCACGAGGTTTTGTATCTTTCTTGGAGACTCTCTCATCTCTTGGAAGAGTAAAAAGCAGGACATTTCCTCCCGCTTTTCGACAGAAGTAGAGTATCGAGCAATTGCTTCCACTACAATTGAAATAGTTTAATTGCGTTGGTTACTCTTTGATATGAGTGTCTTTCTTTCTGGACTGACTCTTATGTATTGTGATAATAAGAGTGTCATTCAAATTGCCTATAATTCAGTCTTTCATGAACGTATAAAACACATCGAGATTGATTGACATTTCACTCGTCATCACTTTGAGCATGACACCGTTACTTTGGCATTTATTTCTTCCGCATCACAAATTGCTGATTTGTTCACATAAACTCATTTTATCAAACGTTTTCGTTTTTTGATTGACAAACTCTCAATGCTTCATACATCACGAGTTTGAGGAAAGATGTTAGATAATGGACTTTTAGATAATGTCCAATGAACTAAAATAAAATAAAATAAAATAAGAGAGTTGTCACGGTTTTTTAAGGAGATTTATCGATTTACTCATTGCTACCAAATTAATAAAATTGAACTTAAAATTTAATGTGAGTACTCATTTATTTTTGGACAACTTTCATCGTATTATCTTCCTTTTCTTTTCTTGAGCAAGAACATTCTCTCTTATTAATTGATCCAATAACAAACTCCTTTAAGAAATACTATGAAAATAAGAGGTGAATAGTTGTGTACAATGATCTAGAATAGCATCTACCTCAGATATATTCTCCTATATATAGTATCTAAGAGTGTTTCAAATAACATTAATTCATGTGTATGAAATTTTTGGGAAAAAAGGGAAATGAGTGTATTTGAGGGAGGTCAATTCATCTTGTGAATATCAAAGACTTAACATGGTTTTAAAGCTTTTATGTTTTATGATGGAAACATGCATGAATAACTCCAGATAAAGAATGTTTGTGCACATGAAATACCTAAACATGAAGAAAAGCATAATCAAACTCCCATTTTCAGCTTCTAGCTTATGCAGCATACAAATTTCACAATGCAAAAAATCTATCTAAATATTGAGATTTGATCATAAACATAAATAACTTTAAATCTTAATACATTTTTCAAAACTCAATATGAATTAATATGCATACTTATTACCAAAATTGACAAAGAAAATACCAAAAAAAAAAAGCCTATAAGAGTAGAATATGATGTAATTCCAATTTATTACACATACGAGACTCGCGTTATTATCATTTAAGAAGTCTTTGCAACTGCATTACAATCAAAATTGCGGCTACATAAACTACATTTTGCTTATGTAACCGCAATTTAAAACGGTATATACCTCAAGGGAAATCATAAGCTCCTAAACCATATTGCTTAACCTTTCCAGAATCATTCATGAAATCAGCAAGTTTTGAAGTGTATGAAAATCCCTTAATAGCTCTATACTCCTTCCACCAACTCATATAGCTACTTTGCCTCAAAAAAATTTCTGGTGAAACAGCATAATCCTTGAGCAAACCATAAACATAGTCCTCAAATTCATCCAATTTCTTCATTATCTCTTCTTTATCTTTCACTTCCTTCAACTCTTTGCATGCAAGTATAGCTTCTTCAACATGAGCCCAAAAGCAAGAATCTATAGTCAAAATCACTTCCACTGTCTTCCTACTCGTACTATTTAATTCGGTTATAGCTTTTTTCGAACCTTCTTTCAACCATTCCTCCAAATTCTTGAAGTGTTTCGACCTTTTCTCATTCACGTAATCTCTTCCACCTTCTTTATAGTATTGCGCAATAGCTAAAGGTTCGACCATTCTTCTGTAAGTAGTTCCCGCGTAGATCCAGCGAGTACGAAATGCTGCGCCTTCTTTTTGAGGCTTCATTTCAACTTCTTCAACCATTTTTTCCCAATAGTTTGTTAGCTTCTTATGAAACTCGACAACATCATGGTCAAAAGGCGAGTTCATGTTTTTGTAGCTGTCATAGTATCCTATGTTACGGTTTTTCGTTTCCTTTTTGTACCATTCGAGTTGCGCTGCGTGTCCCTTCATTTGATTCAGTTTCTTCGACGGATCAAATGATATCCTCTTTAGAAGAATGGATCTTTCTTCTTGCTTTTTTATCTTTGTTTCTAAGACATTGATATCAATGTTATGCTTTTGCTGCATCCAAAGTCAGTTTTAAAAATCAACTTATATACATAAGCACTTAATTAAACTATTTATCCAAACAAGCTCGAATAAATGATTCTAACTCTTCAAGAAAAAAGATAGAAAATGTTCACATACCAGAATGTCTGATGTCAATCCTAATGCATGCAACTGCAGACTGATACCAATTGCAAGTGAATCCGAACAAGTCCTATCTCCGGCCGGTGTAGAAGAATCCTTGAAAACCGCATTACGTCTGAGTTTTTCGACTATATTTCCATATTCATCCGATAAAAATCCTTGATTTTGATCATGCACTTTGCTTAATGTTATGATTATTTCCAAATTCGAATCAGGATTCTCGAAACAAGTAGAATCTGAATCAGAACAAAACAGAAACGTCCCGAAAGGCACGTGATTTGCGATGAGTAGCCTTGGACGAGGATCATTGCATGAAACAATGTTTAGAAAGCAAGAACTCCAATAAGAACTACGCGATATAGCTTGTTGCAACTCCTTGTCACCAACAAGAAGCGAACCGAATGTGATGCATAGTGGTCGATTCTTCGTTGAACCAATGTTATCTAATAGTGATATTGTGAAGAGTGAAGCAATTGATCCTCCAAGACCTTTTCCAGTAACAATCAATGGAGTCACTGGAATTTTACTTAAAATCTGCATTAAGATTTTCAAATAAGGATTTCGAAATTACTACGATACATGTCTAGAAACTAGAAATATGCAGGAGATCTAAAATATCATGATTATAACATGTATGTAAAATAAATGAAAATGAACACTGCATTCACACATTCAGTGTATTGGTGACTGTTGAACTCAGATCAAACAGTTCAAGATACCGAGGTTGAAACTCGGACGGCCTTAAGGTTTTAGATGGATAAGTAGTGTGTCTCTCACAAAGGTGTTTATTTCTGCACTATATATCGATGCTCTTAGTATCTCCCCCCAACACTCCTAAGTGTGTCTACTTCTCCGACTACAGCAGCTAAAGTTCCGTATTATTGATAATAAATAAATTTGAGTGATAACTTACTAGTTTACAATAATACCCTGATTGGTATCTCGGTCGCGACTATTAGGATATCTTAGTCGCGACTATAAAGACACGGGTGAAGCTCGATCTACTTGCTCACCCCTGCCCAATTCATAAACCAGTTTACACAACAACAAGCACTAGATTTGCAGCAAAACAGAAACATTTAAAACAAAATCTAATCCAAAATTCAATCAGATTTAGAACTTATATAGCAATAATCAAAAACAAAAAAAGGGAAATACCTCAGATTTCAACTGATCCAGCTTCTCAATATTATCACAAAAGAATGAAACAGCTTCACTATTAAGAGAGAAAAAAGGGTTACTCTTAGAACACAAAAACTCAAACTGAAGAAAATCCTTCCCTTTAAGATCAGAAGACAAAACCAAACCACTTTTAGGATTAGAACAATCTGAAGTAGCTTCAAAGGCTATAATAGTCAAATCTGAACTTTGTTCTTTGTAAACATTCCAACTCAATCCAACACCAACGTTTGAAACTATGTCCTCATAGCTAGATGTGATAACATTCCATGTTTTTTTAAGGATTTCATAGCTTGTCACAAATGAAGCATGCTCAATTCCACTGCTAAATCTGAAAAACATAATCCAAAACAAAAATAATAAAATAAAATAAAAGTGTTATGTAACAAAACAAATCAGTAATAATAGTATTATTATGATTACATACAGTTTAAGGTTTGTCATGGTGATTGAATTGAAGTATAGAAGATTATGTTATGTGATGAAGTGAATTATTGGTGAATTGAGACGATATATTATATGGTTCAATGAAATTGCAAAGAAGGTGCTCAGATGAAGTCAACGAAGCTAGCGTGTGTACTTTATTTTAATTTTTAAATATTTTAATATTGATATTTAAATACATTTTTGTAGACATTTGCATTTATTTATTTATATATGGTGTGACAATTTATTTTTTATAATATAAAGTAACTTGAGAGTGATGCATGGTTTCAGACAAACTTGGGTATTTGTACATGTAGTAAATGTTTTTAAAGTTTATAAATAAGAAGCTTGGATATGTGTAGAAATTAATTAAAGAAAAAGAAGGTTGTTTTCCCACCTCCCATGCTACGAAATTTCACCATTTTTTAGAAAGGTCATGATTGATATTTTTAATAAGCTGATAAAAGTAGTATGTGCTGAATGAATTAAGTTAGTGTAAATTGTTGACTTATAGTTTAATTTATGACAACAACATTCATTTATATTTATGTAAAAGATATTGACATTTATAAATCAATAATTTTAAAAGATATATGTTCATAAAAATAAAAAGTATAAAATAAGAATATAAATAAAAATAATTATATGAAAAATATTATACGCCATACACTCGATTAAACCTCCTCAATTCTAATCAAAGTTAATTTTCTTTTTAAAAAAGAATAGTCATCTAAATCAAAGATTTTAACTTTATTCGACAATTGTTATAAGGATAACCTTTTTGTTAAAAACAATCTATTATTTATTTATTTTTCAATGCACTAATTATACGACAATCGAATTACCTAATTAAATATATTTCCTAATATATTTGAAGAAATTGATATTAGAGAACTGACGCACGTGATTAGACATGTTACTATGAAGAATATAAGAGATGACTAGTCTTTTAAGTGTAGTTGATCACTGTGATATAGTGGGAAAATTGACTTGGTATTTTGCGTTTTATCGTAATTATTACGGATACGAAGAGTCATCACTGACTTTTCTTTTATCCAATAAAGGAAAGGGTGAAAAGAACAGGAAAGACCTTTTGAGAATTTTCTTGAGTTCGGGGGTAGGTTATGAAAAGGGAAGGTGTTAGCACCATTTTCATCCGTAGTTATTGTAAGTGTTTAGTTATTGGCATGTATTTTTGGTAAAACCAGGTGTGTAAATGTCATGACTGATGTCATAACATTCTGGATTATTAGGTTCTTTAGGCAGAAAAAGTATGGCATTCAGTAGCTACTGTGTATGAGTGTGTATCTGAGCATTTTGCAAAAGATCACATTTATTGCCTTCTACCAAAATCAGTAAACAGGAATTCTGATGTCATAACAAATGTTAAGACATCCTGTACTGATCTAACAGATATGCAGTTTGGTTAATTCTGAGATTTTTCAGGAAGATGGCCCATTCTTTCTAGAACAGAATCTCACGTGGACTTTAGATTAACCTAGCTCAACCCTAATCTGGTTGATAAAGTCTTGTGACCAAGTCTTAAGGTTAAACCTAATTAACCCTAGCTTTTTGTGGAAACCCTAACTGAAGAAACAGCTGCTATATATTCAACAGAATTGTTGTTTGGAAAACATCTCTTTGGACTGAAGATCAATTAGGAGTTGTATAGTTTTAACTGCTGTAATCCAAGCAAGTATCATTGTGATAAGTGACTTGGAATAGGTTTTGATTGTAAGGGTTTTGGTATCACTCAAAGTTTTGAAGCAAGAGTGTTTGTGTCTCTTGACTAAAGCTTTGAAGCAAAGTCAAGTTAGGTTTATGTATCACTCAAAGCTGTGAAGCAAGAGTGTTTGTGTTACTTGATTAAAAAGCTGTGAAGCATAATCAAGTGTTTATTCTGAAGAGTGTCTTCATTAATTCATTAGTCAATTGTTTTAAGTATCACTGCTGTGATTGAGGGGGAGTGAGTAGGAACTCAGGTTTAAGTTGAACTTAGATTGAAGTTGCATTGGGTAGGTCTTAAGTGAAGGAGATAAACTGGTTGGTTTATTCCTGAATTAATATCTCTTATAGTGGATTTCCTCCCTGGCTTGGTAGCCCCCAGAGTAGGTGTTGTTTCACACTGAACTGGGTAAACAATTGACTGTGTTCTTTACTGTTTTTATTTACTGTCTTATAGAAAGTCAGATACGGTGTCATAACATTCACTGTGACATTGAGTATCTGCTGCCAGAATTTCAATTGGCATCAGAGCAGGCACCCTGCCTGTATTACTGGGTGAGATCTAGGGATATCACTTTCTGGCACTATGGACAAAGAAGGAGTTTTTGGAAATAGACCACCCATTCTGGATGGAACAAATTATGACTACTGGAAACCTCGTATGACTGCCTTCTTAAAATCTCTGGACAAAAAGGCTTGGAGAGCTGCTGACAAAGGATGGAACCATCCCACCATAACTGAGAAAGATGGGACAATCAGTCTGAAGCCAGAGGAAGAATGGAGCAAAGAAGAAGATGAGTTAGCCCTGGGAAATTCCAAAGCTTTAAATGCCTTGTTCAATGGAATTGATAGAAACATTTTCAGACTAGTACATCAATGTGAACTGGCCAAGGAAGTGTGGGACACTCTCAAAACTACCCATGAAGGCACATCCAAAGTAAAAATGTCAAGGCTTCAGATGCTGACTACAAAGTTTGAGAACCTAAGGATGAAGGAAGATGAAACCATTCATGAGTTTCACATGAACATCTTGGAGATTGCCAACACCTCAGGAGCATTGGGTGAAAAGATGTCTGAAGAAAAACTGGTGAGAAAGATTCTCAGATCCCTGCCTAAAAGATTTGCAATGAAGGTAACTGCTATAGAGGAAGCTCAGGACATCAGCAACTTAAAGGTGGATGAACTCATTGGGTCTTTTCAGACTTTTGAGATGGGGATCAGTGACAATGTTGACAAGAAAAATAAGAGCTTAGCACTTGTATCCAACACTGAAGATGAAAACAAGGAGGATGAAGAAGAAAATATTTCAGAAGCTATAGCCATGCTTGGAAGACAATTCAACAAACTCATCAAGAGAATGGATCCAAAGTCAAGGTCAAATGTTGAGAACATCCCATCTGACATTAACAGATCTTATGACTCCAGCAGAAGACCAAGGTCTGAAGAGAAGGGAAATCAAGGCAGAGGAATTCAATGCCATGGTTGTGAAGGATATGGGCATATTCGAGCTGAATGTCCTACCTTTCTTAAGAAACAAAAGAAAGGTATGACTGTTACCTGGTCTGACTGTGATTCAGAAAGTAATTCTGAAGAAGAATCTGCCAAACTAGTTACTGCACTAACTGGTGTTTGTACCTCTGAAAGTGACACTAGTGATGAGGAAGTGACATTTGAAGAACTGGCTGATACTTACAAGAAATTATGTATCAGAAGTGCTGAAGTCTGTGTGCAAAATGAGAGACAAACAAAACTCATCATAAAGTTGGAGGCTGAAAAAAGGGCAGACCTTGAAACTATAAGTCATCTAGAAGGGGAAGTTCAAATGCTGAACTCAAAATTGAACCAGATGACCAAATCTGTCAAGATGCTGACAAATGGAACTGACAAATTGGAAGAAATCCTTCAGGTTGGAAAAAATGTGGGAAACAAGTCTGGACTAGGATTTGTGGAAGCAAAGAAATCTGGTGCAGACAAGAAGATCAGGTCTGATAAACAAATGTCAAAGCAGATGTCACAACATAACACTCAACATCGGGAACAGAGAAATATGAAGAAAAAGTACCAAAGATGGAGATGTCATCATTGTGGGAGGTTTGGTCACATAAAGCCTTTCTACTTCAGATTGTATGGATACCCTAATCAGAACCCAGGTGTCAAACCTAAGGCTAATAGGGTACCACATACTCCTCAATGGAAGAAAAAGGCTACTGCCCTGATAGCCCACACTTCCCTGAGAGTCTCTGCAAAGGAAGACTGGTACTTTGACAGTGGGTGTTCTAAGCACATGACTGGAATCAAGAACCTTCTAAATAATGTTAAACCTCACACCACTAGTTATGTGACCTTTGGAGATGGTGCTAGAGGTGAAATCAAAGGAGTTGGTAATTTGGACTGCCCTGGAGTTCCAAATTTGAATGAAGTACTATTGGTAAAAGGCCTGACTGCTAATCTCATTAGTATTAGTCAATTATGTGATCTAGGATTCAAGGTCAACTTCTCAAAATCTGAATGTCTTGTAATTAATGAAAAACAAGAAGTTGTAATGAAAGGAGTCAGATCTAAAGACAACTGTTACTTGTGGGAGCCTGAGAACACTAATTACTCCACTGTGTGTTCTATTGCCAAAGAAGAAAAAGAGGTGAAACTGTGGCACCAAAAACTTGGCCATCTTCATCTAAGAGGAATGAAAAGGATTATCTCCATGGAGGCAGTCAGAGGGATTCCAAGACTGCAAATTGATGAAGGGAGAGTTTGTGGTGAATGCCAGGTTGGTAAGCAGACTAGGATGTCACATCCAAAGTCAAGACATCTGACCACCTCTAAGGTTCTGGAACTTCTACATATGGATCTGATGGGACCAATGCAGGTGGAAAGTCTTGGTGGAAAGAGATATGCCTATGTTGTTGTGGATGACTATTCCAGATTCACCTGGATTAACTTCATTAAGGAAAAATCTGATGTGTTTGAAGTTTTTAAAGAACTGTGCAAGAGAATTCAAAGAGAAAAGGAAGGGTGTATTGTCAGAATCAGAAGTGATCATGGCAAGGAATTTGAAAACAGTAAGTTTAATGAGTTCTGTTCCTCAGAAGGAATTAGTCATGAATTCTCTTCTCCTATAACTCCCCAACAAAATGGAGTTGTAGAAAGGAAAAATAGGACCATACATGAATCTACCAGAGCTATGATACATGCCAAAAGACTTCCTATTCATTTTTGGGCCGAAGCTATGAATACAGCCTGTTATGCCCATAACAGAGTCACTTTGAGAAAGGGAACCTCATCCACCATTTATG